GGCATCTTGTTCTTTCTCTCCATACAAAAGGTATTGGGAATACATTGGTGCTTGGACAGCATTTGGTGAAAGTGCAGAAGCCAATGGTGCTTCTTGATGAGCTTCCAATCCAAGTCAACACACTGCTTCAAGCTGCTTTCTGCTGCCTCCAAAAGTTGCAAGGGAACCACTGTACCATGCCAAGTGGCTTGAAGCAAGTCCATGAGGCACAGGATTGACAAAAAGGCCTCCACTTCTTCTTTGCATGCATTGGCTGGGAGACACACCACTCTCATATAGTGTGCAACAATGCTGCATAAAGTCAAAAGTTCACTGGCAGTGGCAATGATTTTCTTGTGCTTCCTGTCCTTGGCCAATCTTTTGCTCTGAAACAAGGGTCCCAATTTAATGTTGCTCAAAGATTTTGGCAAGTGAAAGTGCTGCACATAAGAAGAAAGTAGATCCCATTGGTCCAGCTTGTCCAGCACATTGAAAAGAGCCATGTTCATCACACCATTTGATAATAGACAATGCATCCAATCCCAACAGTTTTGCTTGGTGGGCCTCAAGATGGGCCTGAGTGTTGGATTGGCCAGCAATGCATGAGGTGAGAAGCTAATCCCAGAAGCTTGCTCCCACTGCTGGAATTCTTTTTTGGAAACATTACCATATCTTTCTTTCATCCTGTCCCAGCTCTTGAAAATTTCCTCGTCAGAAACCAAATGCAGCTGTTCAAATTTGCAATGCTTTGCAATCTCTGACATGAAGCCATCTTCCCCATCATTGTCATTGTCATCAGCAAGCTGGAAAATATTAGCACACTGCTGGCAAAAGCGGCTACCACTGTCTCCTTTGGTGCTCCAAGAAAATTTGGCAGCTTGACCATCCATAATAAGAAAGCCAAGCTGCAAGAGGAGTCTTTTGCCAATTGCTGCATGCCCTGGTGGCTCTTGCAGTTGCAGTCCCAAATCTTGCACATTCCCATAGCTGCTGTAAAATATCGACTCCAGTCTATCAAGATATCCAATTGAACCTTGAGGTCTCTCACCAGAAGGTTGAGTTCTTCCATCTTGGTGTATGTGCCATGTACTTGTCCTCCTTGTGCCAAGCAGCTGGACCATATATTGGTCAGGCTGCAACTCATTGGGCCCATCAGTGCTTTCAAGTCCTTGAGCACCTTGAGGATCCCCATCAGGAGGAGGCAAATGATGCAAATGCCCAGTTCCACAAACATGGTCATCTAGTCAAAGTCCAGGTCACAATGTGGAGCCTTGAGTGCTGTGGAGCCAAAGTCCTGGAGGTTCTTGCTGACAGCATGCACTGGACAAGCTCATGTTGGAGCCATTTCAAGGCTTACCCACACAGAGCCTCCCATGTATTTGATAGTTTTACATGTGTGAACCTTATAGTTAATTGTCTTTAACAATGTTATTCACAATAATCTGAAAGCACACTGACACATTCCATGGTTGAGCCTTCAGGCTAATCTGCAAGCTGCATGAGCTCACATGGGTTAAGCTTCCAGGGCTGATGTAGGAGCATCACCGGCTGGGAAGGGTTGAGCCAGTAGGGCTAGTGTGTAGCAGCACAACTGAATTTTGAGCCTCCAGGGCTAATGTGGTAGGGCTATCTACTGAAAGGAGTTGAGCCACCAGGGCTAATTTAAACAGAAAAAAGTAAGTTTAGATTTATCTAAAAGGTTTTCATTTCAATTCAGCCTGCTGAATTGAAATTTAAACAGTTTAAATTTCAATTCAGCATGCTGAATTGAAATTTAGATTGTTTAAATTTGCTGAATTGAAATTTAAACAATTTAAATTTCAATTCAGCATGCTGAATTGACATGAAAACCTTTTGAAAAACATTTTTTTGTAAATGGATTGTTTTTCCTCTAGAAACTTAAGCCTCGCTGGGCTAATTTAGAACACAAATGATTTTTTTCAGCAAACACCATTGAGCCTCTTTAGGGCTAATGTGTCTTCTCTAAGCTTGGTTGCAGCTGCTGGAACTCCTTTTCTTTTGGTCCCAAGCCATTTCCACAGTTAAGCTAATTCCAGCCCTTAGCAGGCTTTAACTCAGCCATTGACAGGCTTCCATCTGCATATTGTGCATACCCACTGGTGTAAAACACAACAAAATTTGTTTTGAACAACTTGGTGACATGTAAATTTCTGAACATATCAGCAACCACCAGGGATATCCACATTTCTTAGGGCCTGCATCGCCCCATTTTTGGATCGCAGATTCTAAACATAAAACCTGAAACCCAGTGCTGTGGTGGCCTGTGAAAAGTGTACAGATGCGATCCAATTCCTTCCATCTGCCCTTGTTGTACAGGGCAAGCATCAAAACACATCTATTTTGCTAACCTGATTTCCATTTATTAACAGATTCAGGGTGCAAGTGCTCCTTCAGCAACTGGGACTCCTCTGGAGTGAGTGGCACTAGCTCACTATGCCACCACTTGAAACCAGGGGGTGGGTACTGCGTCACCGGGTCATAGTCTGCAAACAAACCATCAGAACTGGAAGCAGGAGCTTCTCCATCATTGGAATCATCCACCATACCTTGCAGTCAGTGGCCCACTCCTGCAGGGGCTTACATGAAAACAACAACAACAACAACAACAACAACAACAACAACAACAACAACAACAACAACCTAAACTTTCAAAGAAAGATATGTCTTTCTTTCCCACTATATCCTCTGTGGCTGGGTAGCTGGTGGCATCACCAGTGGTCTTGGAGTCATCCTGGTTCGAATGGGCACCATGTTGAGCCTTGAGGCTGGTGGCATCACCAGTGGTCTGGGAGTTATCTTGGTCAGCTTCACATTGACCCCATGCTCTGACTCCAGCAAGGCCTGCATGTCCTTTTGGACTTGGTGTTCCATGGCTTCAGGTCTATGTAGCAAAGTCAGTAAACACACATTTATTGACACCTGGACACTATGTGGTTCTTCATCTGTCTTGCAGCTCATGCTTTTGCCCTAACATCCATGTCTTCCTGTTGTTATTTGCACCCCTCTGCAAGGCCACTAGCAGCCTCATTGCTGCAAAGAAAGATTGAATTTACAACCATGGCTGCCACTTGCCCCCAAAAGAAGTGACAAACATGTTTGGGCCTTTGGGGCCAATGAAGACCACATTGGTTCCTAATATATTTGAGCCTGAAGGCTAATGTGTTGCAACAAGACTGTATAGCCTGATGGCTAATGTGCTTCATATGACAAGGCAACAGCGTCGTGAGCCATTTAAGCCAATGTCCCAAACAAAGTCTTTGGGCTATTGGGGACACATATCACAAACAACAAAAAGTTTGAGCCATGAAGGCTAATGCGTAGCAATGCCATGCTATTGGGTTTGAGCCACTTGGGCTAGTGACTTTCAATCACAACAACATGTTTGAACCATGAAGGCTAATGTGCTGGCAGGACATCACTGGGCCGCACACACAAGCACACTTTTTCCACCACTTTCTCAGCTCTGAATCCTTCAGTCCTCCTTCTTGTCCTCCTTGGCAGCTCTCTTTTTGTATGTCCTGGAGGTTGTCTCTTCCAAGCAGTCTGGCAAAAGGAATCTGAATACAGCACAGAGCATCTTGGCCTCCAACTTCACCATCACATCTGCCATTTGTGGCCTTTTGCTCGGGCAGAGCATGGAGACCATGGTACCATGGACACCTCCACCACATTCCACCCCTCTCCTCCTTTTTGCAGGAGCTTCATCAGTATCTTCCACAGGAGGATCCTTCAGCTTCTCATTTCTCATATTCTTCAACTCTTGCATCTTTGGGCACCAGCCAGAGAAGCATTTCTGCCAGCTTTGCCACAAATCAACTGGTTGATGGTGAAGTTGGTGGCAGACAACTTCAAATACTTTTCACCAGTCTCATCCTGCCAAATCAAAAAATCCCAGCAAGTAAGATTCAAACCATGCTTTTCAAAAAGGCAATGCTCATTTGGACAACAACCCTGTCCTCAACCACCAGCTTCTCCGGAATCTGACACTCCTTTCCTTTGTCAAAAGAAATGTTATAGAGCTGTTTGATTTCCACCTGGTGATCTTCCTCCATCATGAGGTCTCAAGAGCCGAAAAAGCTGTGCATGTAATGCACAATGCGACAGCTTTTCCAAACACACTCCACTTCAGGAACAAATCAATTTCATTGTCACCTGGAATGCAAAAACTATCAGCTCACAAAGCTAATTCGCCAGAGTGTTCAAAAAAACCCAAAAGGCTAATGTGTGAAAACAAGAAATCACCAGCCGACATGGCTAATTTGTGAATTTGCACAAACATGAGCCCAAAAGGCTAATTTGCAAGCTATAAAATACAAGAAAATAGGTTTTATTTTCAACATTTGTTTAATCTAACTAACTCAGCTAACTAATTAGCTGGTTTAAGTCTAAGTGCTTAGCTAACTTCACTAAGTAGTTAATGTTCTCTTAAGATCTTTAAGATGGTTAGCTAACAATTATTAAAAAAAAGTAACTATCTTAAAACCATTAGGTAAGTTACAAGGATTAGTAATCAGTTAGGAGGTACTTAGCATATAGTTAAGATCTAGTTAGTAAAGCAATAATAACTTACTTAACTGTAGCAAGTAGTTACTAAAACCACAGCCCATCTAAGCAGAAGCTACGAACACTTGTGGTCACACAGTCGGAGCGCAGGTCGGAGCGCAGCACCTTTTTCTGCAGCACCTTTTTGTGCAGCTATGCTAGCAAGTTTTCAGCCACGGAGTGGCGCAGTGGTACAAACAATTAGAGTGAACATGTCACACGGCATGCGGACTGTAAATGCATTGTGTAGACACGTCCCCAAAATACATTACAGGGGGGAGGGGGGGTAGTTAATTGAGAAGTTTCTCGCGATTGGAGATTCCAGACCCCCAATACGCTAGCAGAAACTGGCTTTCGTGAAATGACAGCTGTCGTGGGTGTGACCGGCCAAACCACGTCATATACATCAAAATACCTCAAACTTTCATCTCATTTCATCTCCCTTCTCTGCGAGTCACTCTTTGTAGATCCCCTGACGCAAACTCATCAATGCATCTTCGTCGATCGACTGCACGAAGCGCTCCAGCGCTTCCTCGAATACCTATCCGAATCTACCAGCACTCCTCTCCGATGTCGGTAACCCAATCATAAACCTTCCCCGATTGGGTATGCGCCTTTGGGGTTTCCTACGTTAAGTCGAATGTATTCAAATTTCATATTTTTGCTTGATGAAGATCAATCTTGTCATTGTATTCCACTATATGATATATATATATATATACAGATACATATATATATATATATATATATATATATATATGCCATCCCAATTCAGCAGAAATGGCCTACTTCAAAGCCAATTATGTGAAATGTTGCGGTGCTGCCGCTGTCACGTTACACCAATGCCAGGTCCCAATATGTTGTTCGGGAGTATTCAGGATACACTTGCTCGATCTTCTGAATGGACTTTCCCAACACTACTTCGAGTTGTCATTGTCTTTTCAGCCCTTATGATATTAAAGTGGCAGAAGCGTCATGATCTATCGTCTATCACTATGGTTTGAACTGAAATTAGTTTGAAGTAGAACACGACCAAAAAAATGTGTAGCAACCATGATGATCCTTTGTTTATCATGATCTATCCGATACTCATACATACCTCAGACCTCCTGGCGGATCCGTGGTCCAATCTGTCAAGCATCCCACCTTGGGATTGATCTGCGATCGCAGCATGCGCTCCACGTTCTCCCAAAGCCAGTTCCACGCTACTTCATGATGAGTATCCCAGTCCTGTCATTGCTTGCGAAGCAGTGGAAATCTGTACAGCCCTGTGGTGTGCTGGCTACATAGAGAAGTTTCGTTGCTGGCAATGGAATACAAAGCAGAAAGCCATTCAGCAAGACTGAGAGCAGTGCGAGACCAGGCACGGTCCAGCTGAACAAAACAAGTTTGCCCAAGCGAAACAGTGCTGGGATGTGCTCACATTGCTAGGGTCCTTTGGCAGCAAAGAACGCAAAGACGCCAACATCACAGCTTTGAACCTGGTAGCTGCGAGGAAAGTTACCACCCACAAGGCTCAATAAAAGGGCTGGCAGCAAAAAAGATACAGTCAGGTTTGATAGGGAGGACTGTGGCTTTCCCTTGAACACTTGCAGATGACTGCACGTGTCGATTTGAAAGGACATGGAGCAGTTCTTCAAACTTCCTCTCTGCATGGGTCTTCAGGAATCATCAGAGCTGTGCAAGAATGCATACAGGCAGAGAGAACATGTGGTTAATAAAAACTCCCTCAAGAAGTGAATGCAAGCAAGCTGCTCCGGCAATTTGATGGGACCTCGATGCCTGGCGGGCAAGGTGCTAGTTGATCGATGAATTGATTCAAATTGATTCATGGTTATAAGGTTCGGAACCGGGCCCGTCGACATGCCAAAACGAACCCGGGAGATATAAAGGGACGTTCGCAATATAAACCTTTACGCCGCCAACGTCAATTTTGGCACGTCGACCAGTCACTTTTGGCACGTCGACGGGTCACTTTTGGCACGTCGACGGTCACTTTTGGCATGTCGACGGGCCGTTACTATTTTACTATTTACTATTTTCCAGCCCGCAGCCCGTCCAATACTATTTTCTTTTCAATAGGATTTCGCTAATTTTTTCCTTTTCCCTACTGCCTCCTAAGGAATTTTCAATGCCAATCTAAAGAGGAATCTTGTTTTGGTATCGCCCAGGTCACTTTTGGCACGTCGACGGGTCACTTTTGGCACGTCGACGGGTCACTTTTGGCATGTCGACGGGTCGTTTTGGCATGTCGACGGTTCACATTTGGCATGTCAACGGTCGTTTTGGCATGTCCACGGTACGGATCCCATGCTATAATCATGTCAAAAATAATTCTACGATTTTTCTACCACTTCAAAGGGCGCAATTAAGTCGAACGAGACTACCTCATCTACCTCTACACGACGGGAAAGCCAGGCGCAACTCCCTGGCTTCAAAGACTGATTCAGGAGGCAAAGTTTCCACAACAATGATTTCCTTCGCAGTTTCACCACTCGGATTGGTTGGAATATGTTGGAATGTCACAGAGCAAAACCTTTTTACAAACACTAAAAGCCTAGACGTTAGACACAGCCAAAGCATGCCAAAATCATAGCTATTCAGGCAGAAAAGTCCCTGCTCCTCCACCTAGATCCCCCAAGTGGAAGGTTGGATGGAGTCTTCCATTTGATTGAGCCTATACCTCTACCATATATTGATGTGACAATGCATATTTATGTATATTGATGTATATTGTGTATATTATAGTCCATTGTTGTACTGTATATTGTCAGATACCTTGAGTTCAACACACCCAGTTGCGTGGCTGGTGGCATGGTCCGGATTTTTGACAACTTCTTTGAGAACCTTCTCACCCACCAAGTCACTTGGCGAGCACCAAGGTGAGAACGTCGCACTCTTCTTGCAGGCGGTAAGAGTTTGCCTTCGGCGTAAATGACCGAAGGGGACAGCAAACAGTGAATCATTTGAGCACCAGCTGGATGCTTCAAAAAATCCAACAGCTTGATCTGTTTTGCGATGTTGTCAAAGAAAGGCAAATGGAAAAAAGGATGCAAAAAAAAGTCACCATCGCCAGCGCTTCATCAACGAAGGGCACTGGGGTATGTAGAATGTGAAGATTGGGCAAGGTTCAAGTTACCGTGTTCCGTGAGTCGTACAGCAAATGCTGTTCAAGCCTAGCTCGTGCTCATGATTCTTTCGCCAACGAAACCTTCTCTGGATCTATATGTGGCAGAAAGTGTTTGCCTAGCCCGTGCTAATAATTCGAAAGATCTAACAATATCCAAAAAGTGTTTGCATCACCTTTCCGGACGGTGAAAGACGCGGGGAGTTGTATGCCAAGAAACGACGTTGGTCACAATGTTGTCGAACTGGTCAAGCACAAACTGCATCCAAATGCCTTCTCCCGAACAAACTTGCAGTGTTGGATGATAGACTAGCTGACTGACTTGGCAGAGGCTTGAGACCAAATGCTCAAAAGGATGTGCTTCCATTGGGGATTATATTTATGTTTTTCCCATGCAACACATCTAAGTGTGGATTAATGATGGTATTTTGAGAATCATGCTCTTCGAGCTAGCACCTACACTCTGATCAGTCTTTGATACACTTTCACTTCCATTTTGAAATACTTTGAATTTCCCAGGCAATGCATGCAACAAGCAAAGTCAAGAAGACTTCGGGGCGTTTTGGGATACCAATACCGAGCCCATAGCAAGAGCCAATGTCAGAATGTGTTGGATGTCCCAGGCACTGGAGCTGAAACCCATGACAGCTGCATTGAAGAGAAACATCTCGTTGAAGGTTGTGGGGACCTGGCATTCTGATGCATTCTGATGCATTCGGCACACATTCGGCACACATTCGCATTTAGCCCATTGATTTTGATTTTAATGTCTCATTGGTCCGCGTTGATTGCCGTTGATTGGCCTTTGCTGCACTTTGCTTTATCAGCACTTTGAAAGGGTTCTTGAACTCTTGGCTACTCTCAGGCTTGTTGAATGCTGAAGCGTAATTACTGTCCAAATCATTGTTTTATCACAAATATCCTTCCAGACTGTCCCTTCTGAACCCAAAGCCCGGAAAAAATACGATAGCAGCACAAGTGCTCTGCACACGGTCAACGAGCACATATTTTTTGGCCACGCTGCCCACCGCCAGCAGCTAAAGAAGGATCTGACACCAAACATTGCAAATGTGATGCACAGTATTGCGACAGGTCAAAGGCTATCATCCTCAGACTCAGTCAGACTCAGTCAGTCTCCTGCGAGGCTGACGGGCAAAGGTTTGTCCCGTCTCCTCTACATGCGCTGAGACGTGGAATTGTAGGAAGAAGTTCCCCTGTGCAGCGTTGACCTGGGAGAGCGACTGCCTAGGAGATCTGACGAAATCATTCTGACTCATTCTGACTCGTGTGATCCCCACCATGACATTTATACATTTTGTTACTGGCAAATCTTCTGACATTATATCTGGCATACCTTCTGGCATTCTATCTGGCAAATCTTCTGGCATTCTATCTGACATATCTTCTGGCATTCTATCTGGCAAATCTTCTGGCATTCTATCTGACATATCTTCTGGCATTCTATCTGGCAAATCTTCTGGCATTCTATCTGGCAAATCTTCTGGCATTCTATCTGGCATATCTTCTGGCATTCTATCTGGCAAATCTTCTGGCATTCTATCTGACATATCTTCTGGCATTCTATCTGGCAAATCTTCTGGCATTCTATCTGACATATCTTCTGGCATTCTATCTGGCAAATCTTCTGGCATTCTATCTGACAAATCTTCTGGCATTCTATCTGACATATCTTCTGGCATTCTATCTGGCAAAGCTTCTGGCATTCTATCTGACATATCTTCTGGCATTCTATCTGGCATTCTATCTGGCATATCTTCTGACATATCTTCTGGCATTCTATCTGGCATATCTTCTGGCATTCTATCTGGCTGTTGAGGTCCAGCGGTGCACACTGAGCTGGGCAGGTCCCCGGTTGAGGTCCAGCGGTGCACACTGAGCTGGGCGGCTCGCAGGTTGACGTCCAGCAGTGCGCACTGAGCTGGGAAGTTGGCGACGAGCTTGGCGACGAGTTGGCAAGGTTGGCAAGGTTGGCAAGGCGGAAGTGGAGGTGGAGCAAGGCGGAAGTGGAGGTGGAAGAGGCGGAGGCGAGGAGGACAGCGAGGAGGACAGCTAGTCGAGGAGGAGGAGGAGGCGGGCATGCGCTCTGATAAAATCTAACAACCCTCACCTGGCAGGTGGGGAACAAAATGCGTGGAACTTGTTAAAGGAAGCGACAAAAACCATTAAATTGACTCTGTGCCCCTGTTTAGAAGCTACGACTACTGCTACTACCACTATTGCTCACAACTTCAATATACTACAATGAAGTCTCAACTACTGTTCAACAGATACCGTATCAAGAGATTTCAACTGGGACAGCACCTCCAAAGACTCCAAGAGATCCTCGTCCAAATTCTCTGCAGGCACCACATACCTCGGTTATCCAGCTGTGAGTTGAAAAGAAACTTTGGAGTGACACAGGAAGGACCCCCCCCAGTTAGATCCAGTTATATAGTTGCTTTGTAGCCATTCAAACATATACTGTAAGATATATTATGATATATTCACTATAAATCTGTATAAGTCTTACTTAGACTTGTTAGCTGTTAGCCATCTAGCGGGGACCTTGCATGCAACGGGACTGGCGGGGATTGTGAAATAGCCAAAATACCGATGACCGAAACCAATTAATTGAACTGGCTCCACATCACCTGGGTCGTCAATTGACGACCGATTGGCTTCTCAGCTCCAGACACCATGGCTTCAAGCGTAGCGTGAAATGACTCCGTGTGAATTCACTTCTCAGCAAATAAAGACAACAATGACAACAGTATCTAAAAAAGTCTAATATTCAATGAATTCATATGAATTCCTTGAGCAGGCTGCTAGTTACAATGTTCAGACACTCCTAAAACTGGATTAACATTTCCGACCAAATGCTGAAAGGTTTGGCTCTCGTAGGGCTCAAGGACAACGCTGCGTTGCAGCAAGGTCTGCTCCCCTTCCTGGACTTGAGCAGTTGATGTACCACACATATCCCCCGAGTAGACAATACAACAGGCACCGCATAAAAAGAAAAGACAAGATAACATAAGATAACTGTATGTTGAAATATCTCGAAATCATCAGAGGTCGCCTGGCTTTTTTTGGCGGGCATGACTTCTTGCGTCAACTTCTCTGCAACTAGTTCCTTCTTTTCTGATCTGTAGGCACGACATTGTCTGCTGTCTATATCACACCCTTTCCAAATGGGATTCTTGTCATGTTCATCCTAATTCAGCCCCATGATATTCCAACAACAAAGCGAAGATCCAGGCCATGATGCATTTTTTTGTAAGCTCTACATTCCACATGTTCCAGGTGCTGACCTTACGAGTTCGGGCTGGATTGTTGTTGCCAAGCATCAATTGGAAGCTTCATTGCGTACTTCTTCCTTCGTGTTTCCATATGAATCACTGGCAGTCCACGGTAGTCCATACCCATGGCTGAAATAGCTATGTTCACTTTGCGCTTCTCACCGCCTGGTTGGACCCTCTGTGAGATGGGAAGACACTTTGTGGAATTCGGCACTGGGGTCATCCTCCAGACAGCCCAAGCATCAAACAAAATCGACTAGATCCTTTCACCTGTGATACATTCAGATCACAATGGCTTGGAGTGAGTTTATTGAAACTAGAACGCGCTGTCTAGTAGCCTGCTTCATGGAGTCCTCTCACTTCTTTTTTGTACCCAGAAGCTTTCAGGACGCTAGCATATTATTCTGGTTTTAATTGGTTTTGTATGGATTGTACTGTTGCTATTGGATTTAGTTTCGGACTTACTGGTACTCGCAGTCTGGTGTGAAACCATCTGCGCTGTCAGAGATGTTGGAATCTGTGACGTCTAAGTACGGAAGCTAGCAAGAAAAGGCAAGGGAATGAATTCCAGCGAAAAACGCTTGGCACCTCGATTCTTGAAGGTAATTTGCAGAGGAAGATCGTGATTGATCTCAACGTATTTTGGCACTAAATCATCAAATGTGGCCTGGCGGGTTGGTATCTGTTAATTCAGCCAAGATTTGAATTCAAGCTTGTCATTGTGTGAACTGAGACGAGACTTGCTTACTATGTATGTACGAGTACCTCCTTTGGTAGACGATGTGTCTCAATGTGTTGCATTGCACGCCTGGAATTGACCATCAATATTTGATTGATGCTGTAGGACAATTCATTTGGGAGTATAGAGTGGCGAGAAAGTGCAGGACAGTCACGACAAAGTACATGAAAGTTGGAGGAAGTGCATGATAAGGGAAGAACTGCAGGAAAACAAAAAAGGGAAGAGAAAAGAATAGAAGTCCAAGGATTCTCAACTGTCCTGCCCTTTCTTGAACACATCTACATCATGTACCTAGGAGATCCTAGGAGGAGGATTCTTGCAGAGTCAACTGATACGACAAGTTCTCAAACAGCTGATTCATGCTGATTCCACATCGTGTCCGACACGGCAGGCCTCCACATCCTTCACATGAGATCCAGTCAACTCGTGGATTTTTCCGGCCTGCACACGGGAAGTCATTGCCACACCAGGCGCAGATACCAAATGTTTCTCACATTTTCTCACTTTGTGCTTCAAGAATCTGCCAGACTTTGATAAGTGGACCATAGTGGACCAATGGCACCAATGGATTGCGACCTGTCACTCACAGCTCAGCATGCACTGCACAATCATATTTGCCCATTCGGGTTCATCAATGAGGGCCTTCCATCGTCCAAGTTCCTGTTTCGAGCCTGTCTGAAAGCCGTGTCTTCAAGTAGGTTAGCTTCCTTTTGCTCCAGGAGCGACAGCATTGTCTTTCCAGGATCCTGATAGCTGCTGCGTATACTTTGAAATGCAACCATAAGCCTGTAGGATCATGAGCACACCATCGTATATTTTGTTGTTTACGTGGGCAGGTTGGAAATGACTTTTTGAGACTATCAGGCTTGACCCTTCGCAGCGCCATGCTCAAAGATCACACTACTGCTTCAACAAAGCCGGGAGCAGGACACAGGAGCGGATGGATCTCATTGAAAACGAGCACATGGGTAATGACGTGAGCAACCTCCCAGAAATTCGTTCGACAAACATGTTCCGAGGACCAATGCGGCAGAAGTTTGAGGGAAACCGCTAGCAAACCAAATGAAACTAACGCAATACTCTCGCACAAAAAAAAGAGCATGCACAAATTATATATACGTATACATACCCTCCTGACACTATGCATCGTAACAAGAATTATCCTGGCAAAGTTTGAAAAAATGTGGAAAAGACACAGCCTATAAAGCATAAAGTGGCCAAAGGATGCCGAAGGGGTGTAAGTGTAAGTAGTGCGTTGCTGCGTTGCTGCCATGATTCTGCGCACGTTGCCTTGTTGATTTGGTAGCCTGCAGCACAAAAAGGCATCTGCCTGTCCTGGCGCGAGAGATTGAGGTTGGACACAAGGATGGAATTCTCGCAACGAAATGTTGAAGGTTGAAAAATAAAAGGACCGGATAACCCCACAAGTCAACTTCTTCCAATAATGAGTAAGAAATGTTGTTGCGGGGACGGGGAAGGAAGGAAAGACAAAGGAAGAGGTGGAGGAAAGATGGTGTGTGACAAAGCTGTCTGCGTGAAAGATGGTATGGTGAAAGATGGTGTGTGTCAAAGATGTGGTGTCAAAGATGGTGTGTGACAAAGTTGTGTGAAAGATGGTGTGTCACAGATGGTGTGTGAAAGATGGTGTGTGACAAAGTGGTGTGTGAAAGATAGTGTGTGACAAACTGGTTTGTGCAAGATGGTGTGTGACAAAACTGTGTGTGAAAGATGGTGTGGGACAAAGTGGTGTGAAAGATGGTGTGTCAAAGTTGGTGTGTCAAGGATGGTGTCTGAAAGATGATGTGAGGCGCAGCTCCTCCAGGAGGCTCTGTGTACTGCGCCTGCCACACGAAAGGCAGCCGAGGCCAGACGGCGGCCACGTGCGCCGCAGCTCCTCCTGGAGGCTCTGTGTACTGCGCCTGCCACATGAAAGGCAGCCGCGGCCCAGCGGCGGCCACCAGCGGCGGCCACGCGCGCCGCAGCTCCTCCTGGAGGCTCTGTGTACTGCGCCTGCCACACGAAAGGCAGCCGCGGCCCAGCGGCGGCCACGCGCGCCGCAGCTTGTCCAGGAGGCTCTGTGCACTGCGCCTGCCACACGAAAGGCAGCCGCGGCCCAGCGGCGGCCACGCGCGCCGCAGCTCCTCCTGGAGGCTCTGCGCACTGCGCCTGCCACATGAAAGGCAGCCGCGGCCCGAGAGTGAGTGAGAGTGAGTGAGAGTGAGTGAGAGTGAGTGAGAGTGAGTGAGAGTGAGTGTGAGTGAGTGTGAGTGTGAGTGAGTGTGAGTGAGTGTGAGTGAGTGTGAGTGAGTGTGAGTGAGTGTGAGTGAGTGTGAGTGAGTGAGTGAGTGAGTGTGAGTGAGTGAGTGAGTGAGTGAGTGTGAGTGAGTGTGAGTGAGTGTGAGTGAGTGTGAGTGAGTGAGTGAGTGAGTGAGTGAGTGAGTGAGTGAGTGAGTGAGTGAGTGAGTGAGTGGCGGAGGAGGAGGGGGCGGAGGCGAAGGAGCGGAGCCCCGGCGGGATCCAAGCGAAAAACAAGAACCCCACACAGTGATGTGGGGAACAAATTGCTAGTTCTCAAAAGATCTCGAAAAACGACTAAGAAATGTAAAGTCCTATTGGATGATCGCTTCTGTACTTATCTGCGTGTCGGCATGACATCGCAGCTTTAATTTAAGACGTGGTTGATTTAAACCCGCAACACAGCGTTGTCTTGGAAGGCTCACGGATTGTTGATTTGGTCCACTTAAGCATTGAACATACTGTAACATACTTGAAATAATTCGAATGAACCCTTGCACTGGCATCCCTTCCTGAGCATCTGGGCACTGCTTGTACGTGGGAGTCAGATCCAACTCCTCCATTTGACCTTGGAGGCAAAAATGTTGGAACATGTTGGAACAGTTGGGAACATATGGAAACATCTGGTGTGGAAAACGATCCTGCAAACAAAAAACATTGAGGCATGTTCCCAAGCATGCTGGAATGCAGACAAAACCGACGGCCTGACAAGGGACACTTGGCTGGATTCTTTACGCACTTCCTTGCGATAGGGCCTGGTTTCTTGGTGACAATTTTGAAGCCCACATTGTTGTAAGTCTCTCCTCAGCTGCGACACCCTGATTTACACATGCCAAGTTGGGGATCTTGCAAACCTGGTTCCAGACATCACAGTGAAAAGCACGCCTTGAAAATGAGTTGGGCAATAAAATGATGTTATAGACAAAAGGGTGGAAAAACCAAAATGTTCCTTCCACAACCTTTTAACCATACCAAATACTCCCTTTTGCGCGGAGCACTTGAGCCAAGCGTCGGCAGCACAGCTTATTAACCCCAGTCCGGTTTTTGTTGGGATGAGAAAACTACCTACCTCTAATTATGGCTACTCTCCATATCTATAGCACAAGATATGGGGTGCAAACTATACATGTATTCGGATGTATCTACTTGGAACCTAGTGGTACTCATAGCTATGCACTGCCTACACTAAACCTACCTGCACATGCTATACATGGTGGGGCTCAGGGGTCGATATATTTCAACTCCCCCCTCGCCTGTTCCACACGCACTGCGCATTGGCAGGCACCCACGCATCTACTGTCGCAAGAGCGGATGCTCACTGCGACCTATGCATTGGATTTAAGGTCTAAGGGAAGATCAGTACGTATTCCTAAAAGGATCAGTGCTGCTGCCCATTTGTGTGGAGGCAATGCCTTTGTGAATATGTCCGCCGCCTGATCGTCTGTATTGATGTACTCTGTCAGGGCAGTCATCCTTGAAGGTTTCAGACAGGCAAGACAAATTTACTTTAGGCGTTCTAGTTATGTGGCAAGGCTTGGGACTACATCATCCTTTCTTCACAACTAGGATTGTTGCTTGATTGTCTTTGTGAACTCTGAAGGTTACGGAGCGTGCAAGCAACAGCTCCCATAACTGAAGTGCAGGCAAGCCTTCTTGATAAAGCGAGTGAGCCAGGCTCACTACTTCGCTTTCCGTGGTCGATCTAGAAGTGGACGTTTGGCGCTTGCTAATCCATGCAAGCGGGAAGAAGGAACTAGGGCCAGTTAAAGCCAGAAAGCCACCAGAGGTTGAGCGTGCAGTTGACTTATCGCCGGCGAAGTCGGCATCGACGAATAGTCTAAGCTCGAGGTCTTCAGGTTTATCCTGAATGGTACTTACTAACCTATAGTGTGGGGTTGAAGCTATATACTGGCTTAATCTTAGGACCTTCTTGTCGTCCCCCCTGGACCACGATTGGACCTTTGTGGCCAGATCATTGATAGGCTTGATGATATTGGGATGTGCAAGTCTACCTGACCAAAGGGCTTTCATCAAAATCTTACATGCATTGGGGGCTAATTCCCCTTTAGTTTCCTCGTCCTCAGTGGTGATGGATCCTTCAGGTGGAAATGGCGTAGCGGCATGCTTGAGTTTTGAGATACCGGTTTCTGATTTATACAAATCTACGGTCTGTTGAGCGTAGTCTGCATATCAAAAACCAAGCCTGTTCGGGATTGGAAGGCTGCACATCTTTCATGACCTTCGGTCTTGGAGAGTGGGGTAACAACATGGTTGCGTCCAAGAATCCTATAGATGGGCTCTGGGGGTTCTATGTCTACCACAGAAGTTAACTTACTCCAGAAGGCATCATGCTGGTCAGCAGGACCAGCTAGAGTTAAATCGTCTACATAAGTTGACAGAAGTAACTTAGTACCTGGGAAGTAAAAGTTTCCTGGGTATTCTGGGGCCTCTTGCCCTCCAAGGTTCTTGATGATGACTTTTAGGTGTTGCTCCCACAGGCCTCCGGCATCGGGATGACAATAAGGCTTTGATTAAAAGGACTACGGGCTTAACAAACTGTTGTTTCCAATGCTTAGGGTGGAGCTCAGGAGGGAGCTCAATCCAAGTTTTATATATTGAAGACAACAGTGCTTGAAAATAAGCTTTGACCGCATCGGCGGCTGTCGCGCGGTTTCCTGGCAGCGACCCATAGGCTAAGCAGGCGTTGAGCCGTTGGACAGAAGTAGGATTAGCGCCGAGTTCTTGATAGAAGGCAGCTGCACCATGCTCGTCCTTTGCGCAGTCTCCGCGGTACACTATGCGACCCTTCATCTTGTGAAGATGGTCTGCAAGTTCATAGAACTTGATGGACGCAATGGTCATTAACTGACCAAAGTGCACGGATACACCGGAAGCTTTAGCTTCCTTGCGAACATCTTCCTTTTCGCGGACTGAGCTGAGATCCCATGTGCCTGCTGTGACCAAACCGTCAGCTTCGGCGCGAATTGCTTCAAGCGCCGTAGGGTTTGACAGCATTTCTGCACGAGACAAAAGCTTAGTGACCATAGCCATAGCTTTGATTTCGGGAGTTGGTGCCTTTGGATCCTCCAACTGGAGGGCTTGGGCTATCAATTGCTCATGGTCAAGAAGTTCTGTAACTAACCTATTAGCGGTGGGATCTGATTCAACTGCTATAGCCAAATCTTCAAAACCAGCTAATGGGGATACGTGCTTAAGGTGCTGTTCAATTTCCCTATGGGGTTGAGGCTCGCTACTCGCCGGTCGGCAAGGCATAGCAGGTACGGACTGCTGGGCACATTTTGAGGGAAACAAAGCTTGCGTAATTAGATTAGTCATTTGGGGTGGATACATCGCAGAGCGAGTGGTCTCAGCTCCCTCACATCTTGTGTGAGTTTGTTGGCACTTGCAACGCTTATCCTGGTAGGCATCTTTGATGCGTTGGGATGTGGTCATGAGCCGCCACGGTTTCTTCAAAGGAAGGCCGCCTCTAGTGGTGAGACCTACCGCACATCCTTCGAAATCTACACACATAAACTGAGGGTGCTTCTCAAAAAATGCTACAACGTCTGGCCTTTTCCATCCACTACAAGATCTTGGCCATTCAAACGTTACAGTACCATTATGATTAAGAATACGCTCAGCTCTTTTGGTGAAACTAGAAAACAACCGTTTTTGACTCTTTGACTTGATGCTCCAGCTTCCTAATGAAGGCGGCGCCACCCTTCTTCCTATTGATGTACTGCCAAGGGGACCCGGACGTGCAAGGGATGGAAGCCCACATGTGTGGTGGGGCAACTTCAGCAGCTTCATCGATCTGATAGTCTAGTTGCTCACATTGCGACTCATCACCTAAGTCGATCCTATCCTTACAAAGTCTAACATGATTGATACTATACTCATCATGAGTAAAACCAATCTGGGAATTATCAGAACAAGCAAACTCAAACATGGTTGACTTGGCATTGGGTTTGGAGGCTTTCTTGGCAGCTCTCCGGCTTCTGCGATTGTCGCGGTTATTTGGCCTACCCACAAGGGGACAACCAAAAACAGGCAGCGACTCTTGGCATAAGTCGGAACATCTAGAGGCAGCTTGGGGAAGGATAGCTACACCGGAAACAGTAGCAGCAGGCTTGGCGGGAGCACTGGGTTCGGCTGACCCTGGTGGCTCTTCATCCATAAAGATACTTTTGAAAAGCTCTTTATCCTCTGCAGGGAGAGGTGTGAAGGGATTCGGTCAGAGATTTCCTCACCTCGGAAGATAAAACCATGGGCTTCATCATCCTTGTCTTCTACTTCAGTTTCACTTGCTAGTGGAGCTTTCTTTTCCCTTTCGGCTTCTTTTTCTTTTTCTACCAGCATTGAGAAGCGGGCTCTGCACTCATCAGTGTGCGCCGCGCGAATGGCCAGTGCAGCCTTGGCATCCAGGTGCCTCTTTCCACTTAAGGATACGGTCTACGGTTATATAAACAGAACGACTTTTGAGACCTGGTGTAGAGGGTGAGGCTATTCCGCCCTCCTTGGGGAAGGGCACATCCTTTAAGGCATATTCAGGCAACTTAAGATCATCTGGGTTATCCCCCTGATGAGAGCTTGGTGGCGTGAAAAACCTACCGGAAAAACAGGATCACCTACAGGAACAAAGATTTCTGCTCCTGGGACATCAACGGCTGAATTCCCATACTCTTGGTAATCTAGCACCCTTACGACATTTCTATATCTAAAACCAGGATCAATCCTCCAACCCAAAAATAGACCAGGTGACATGTTGGGTTCCAAAGTCCTTTTGGTGGGTGACTTCCTACGGTAATACACTAACTGACCAAAACACAACCTCATGCCATCAAACTTAATTCCTAGTAAGCGATTCCCATTGGGTTTTGTCGGGGTCGACTATTGAAGGCTTGTCAAATGACATTGATAGGCAAGCATATGGATAGTTATAAGTTATAAGTGTGGTACTCGTAGGGAAGACCAGACTGGAGGTGAATAGTGCGGCAACATTCTTTTTCCTCTCGAACATCTCTCTCGAGAATGGCATTATGGGGCCATCTGTTCGGCAAAGAGGTTTCCGGAACCATGCCTACGGCATGTGCCGCCTGCTCCAGCTCGCCGGCTTCGTCCATTTTGATGAACGTCCGGGCTGTGAGCTCTGATCCACGCAGTCCTAAGAAATGCCTCAAGTTGCGAGCATGCTCGTCAGCAGTACGTTTGGACAGTGGGTACGCTATACACGCGCTCCAGAGTACGCGTCGCGGATGACATCATGCGACCTAATTCCCCCTATACCAACTCCCATGGGTTCAGACCCTTTAGCTAAGATAACATCATCAGTGGCGAGCTGTTCTAGCGGCTGCTTTGGGGGATCAACAAAATCATCGGCTTTGCCATCTTTGTCATGTGAAACCCTCATGGCGGTATCTTTTGCTATGTGGCACAAAGGACAGTAGGGACTCTTGGGAAAATGGGTACGCAAGTGCTCAGGGCTAGTGGCTTGCTGCTTTAGAACTTCATCCTCAGGCGGCTCACCATCACCTAGCTCTACCAAAAGCTTGTCATCTAACAGGTGTTTGAGCTCCGACTCGCTAGAGGGACCAGCAGCGTCCTCAACAGGTTCGGGTTCTAGATTTCCTTCTACATCTGCGGGACTAGTAAGGTCACTACCGGCAAAGCTAGGGGTATAGCCGGGGTCATTAGGATCTTCTTCATCGTCAGCGGGAGTATCAGATTCCACAGGTGGAGCTGGCACGGCAGTTGAAATAGGAGCAAGGTCCTCGCTAGATACAAAATGACGTGGGGTCAACTC